GATTGACAGTTCTTTTCTTTTAGCACTTGAAAAATATTGTGCCACTTACTTCTGACCTCCATGGTTTCTTATAATAAAACCACCAACATTATAACTGTTTTCCCCCTAACATTAAGATAATTTTTCTCTGCATGCTCCCCAGAACTTTTGTTCTTAGTTTTCATAAGTTTAGTTATGATGAGTCTTTCAGTACATTTTTTTAAGCCTTTTTTCCCCTCTCCTTCTTGGACACAAATACTAGGTTTTTTGTTGTAGTTCCCTGAGACTCTGTTTTTTCCCCCCAGCCTATTTTTATTTCCATTATTCAGACTGGGCAATTTCTATTGTTCTATCTTCCAGTTCGTTAATTCTTGCCTCTGTACTCTATATTCTGCTGTTGAGCCCATCTACTGAGCTATTTTGTTTCAGTTACTGTATTTTTCAGTTCTAAAATGTTCTTTTGGTTCTTCTTTATATCTTCTGTTTTTTTGCTGAGTCTTTATATTTCTTTGCTGAGCCTTTCTATTTTCTCATTTGTTTTAAGCATGTTTGTAATTGCTCCCTGAAGCATTTTTATCCTGGCTGCTTTAAAACCTTCGTCAGATAATTCTTACATATCTGTCATCTTGGTTTTGTCATCTGTTGACTGTCTTTTATTCATTTGGTTGGAGATCTTCCTCGTTCTTGGTATGACAAGTGATTTTCTATTGAAACATAGACATTTTTGTATTGTTGTGAGGCTTTGGATCTTAGTTAAACATTCTCTTAGCTGGGTTTTGTTTACTTTTGTTTTGTTTTTTACCCCCCTCTGACAGGGAAAAGAGTGGGTTGGGGGCAGGTGCTGCTTTATTACTGCCTCGTTACTGCCAGGTGGATTACACCCCTGTTGACAACCAAAGGGAGATACCGTGGGAGAGGCTCCCCATGCGGCCTCTGCTGACACGGTGGTGGCAGTGGCCTCATTACTGCTTCATGATGGTAAAAGTCCTAATTTTTCTCTAGGCCTCTTCTGATACTACTTCAGGAGGAAGGCACTGGGGTGCCGTGTTACTGCCAGGTGGAAGCTCAGGCTCCCCATATGGTCTCCACTGACACTACAGGGAAACCTCATTGCGGGCCTGGAGGGATGAAAGTGCTAGCTCTCTACCTGGCCTTCTCTGACACTACTTCAGCATTTAATTACTGTCTTGTGGGAAAGAGGGTTATCTAGGATCCCATTCGGTCTTTGCTGGCATAGGTGGGTTTGGGGGCCATTTTTTTTTTCTTTGGTGTTGACTGAAGGAAAGTGATTATTATCTAAAACCTTCCTATCTTGCAGGGCTACCACTTTCCTGGTTCTTTCTCAAGAAAGAGCAGGCTTTTCTTGCTTTGTTTTGTCTTGTTTTGTTTGTCTGCTTCCTCAGTTCCAAGTCTGGGATATATGATACAACAGAAACCCAAGGAACTCACTATCATATTTTTCCTCAAGTCTTAAGGTCCCTAGCTGGTCTATCTGCTCTCCATCTTTCAGAGTCTTCTTACATTCATTTTATATAGATCTCCAAGGTTTCTAGTTGTACTTAGTGGGAATAGGGGAAAGTATGTCTACTCAACACTTCCCATAAACAGAAGTCCTACTTAGCTAGCTTTAACCAATTCCCTTTCTGGGAAGTTGAATTATTTTCCTATGTTCCCATTTACTAACTAAGGGCCCCTCCAAGCAACCCAACTGTCTGGAGCCACGGCATTGTTACAGGATAAATTTGAGCATTGGCATTTCCTGGAACCTAAATAAAATATTAGCCCATGTACTCCAGAAATATATTTTTTAAAATTCTTCATTCAAGAAGGGTTTATTTTAAGAGTACAAGGATGGTTTGATATTAACAAATCCTATTATATGACTGTATTAATAAGTCAAAGGAGAAAATCCATATTATTTTTCCATAAATGCAAAAATATGCAATTGACAGAATTCAACATTTTTTCTGAAACAAGTTCTTAATAAAATAGAAATTAATGAGTACATTCTTTCAACAATTTAAAAATAAATATATCCAATTGAGTTAGCAAAAAAACTAAAGGCTGCACCAAAAAAACTCTTAGAATTAATAAATGAATTCCATGGGAGAGGCTCCCCATGTCACAGGATACAAAAACAATATACAGAAATCTGTTGCATTTCTATATACAAATAATGAACTAGCAGAAAGAGAAATTAAGAAAGCAGTTCCATTTATAATTGCATCAAAAAGAATAAAATACCTAGGACTAAATCTAACCAAGAAAGTGAAAGACTTATACTATGAATACTATAAGACCTGGATGAAAAAATTGTTGATGACACAAATAAGTGTAAAGATAGTCTATATTCATGGATAGGAAGAATTAATATTGTTAAAATGGTCATATTATCCAAAGCAATCTATAGATTCCATGCAATCCCTATCAAAATACCAATGGCGTTTTTCACAGAAGTAGAGCAAAAAATCCTAAAATGTTGAACCACAAAAGCAAAGCAATATTGAGAAAGAAGAATAAAGCTGGAGGTATTACACACCTGATTTCAAACTATATTACAAAGCTACAGAAATCAAAACAGTGTGGTGTTGGCACAAAAATAGACACATAAATTGGTGAAACAGAATAAAGTACCCAGAAATAAGCCATTTATAGGTCAGTTAGTATATGACAAGGGAAGCAAGAATCTACAATAGAAAAAAGTCTCTTCAACAAATGGTGTTGGGAAAACTAGACAGCTACATGCAAAAGAATGAAAAGTAGATCACTGTCTTACACCACCCACAAAAATAAATTTGCAGTAAACTAAAGACCTAAATATAAGATCTGAAACCATAAAACTCCCTAAAAGAAAATATAGGCAGTAAATGGTTGAACAACAGCATTAGTAATTTTTCCTGTATCTGTCTCCTCAGGCAAGGGAAACAAAAGCAAAAATAAATAAGTGGGACTACATTGAACTAAAAAGCTTCTGCACAGCAAAGGAAACCATCAGAAAATGAAAAGGCAACCTATTTACCAGGAAGATATATTTGCAAATGATAATATCCAATAAGAGGCTAATATCCAAAATACATAAAGAATGCACACAACTCAACACCATAAAAAAAACAAATAAGCCAATTAAAAAATGGGCAGAGGACCTGAATCAACATATTTCCAAAGAAGACATACAAGATAGCCAACAGATGCGTGAAAAGATGTTCAGCATCACTAGTCATCAGGAAAATGCAAATCAACACCTCAATGAGGTATTACCTCACACCAGTCAGAATGACTAGTATCAAAAAAAAACCAAAACAAGAAATAACTAGTATTGTGAGGAATGAAGAAAAGAGAACACTTATACACTCTTGGTGAGAACATAAATTGGTGCAGCCACTATGGAAAGCAGTATGGAGGTTTCTGAAAAAACTAAAAACAGAAATACCATCTGACCCATTAATTCCATTTCTCAGAATTTCCCTGAAGAAAACAACATCACTAATTTGAAGAGATATATATGTACTCCTATGTTTATTGCAGCATTACTTAAAACAGTCAAGTATGGAAGCAACCAAAGCGTCCATTGATAGATGAACAAATAAAAAAAGATATTGCCATTTGTTTCAGCATGGGTAGACTTAGAGGGTATTATGCTAAGTGAAAGAAGTCAAAGACAAATACTATATGTTTCCTCTTATGTGTGGAATCTAAAAAGAAAAACAAATAAACAAACAAGCAAAATAGAAATAAACTCAAACACAGAGAACAAATTGGTGGTTGCCATAGGGGAAAGGGAGAGGAATGGGCAGAATAAGTGAAGGGGTTAAAGTACAAACTTTCAGTTATAAAACAAATTAGTCACAAAGATAAAAGTATAGTATAGAGAATATAATCAATAATGTAAGATGTTTGTATATTGGCAGATGATAAGTACACTTATCATGGTGATCATTTAGTAATGTATATAATTGTAAGATCACTATGCTGTAGACCTGAAATCAAGATAATACTGTATATCAATTATATGTCAATTAAAAAAAGAAAAAAATAGAATAACAAAAATTAGGTCATCCATATCACCCTCTATTATTTAACCTTGGTCTGGGAATACTAGCCAGTGAAATAGCCATGAATTGGATATAAGTTACAATTTCTGGCAACTGTATTCTTCTTTCCATGTCCTTCCACCACCTTGTCTCTCCTTTGAGTTAACTATGGAATTAAATATAGGATTGCTTAGTTCATCCTCTAGCCTGACCAGTTTTTCTGGCTTTCTTTCCCTCTCCATGATTCATCATTCAACTGATAGGACTTATGACTTACTTTGTATTCCTAAAGCTGTGAAAACAGTAGGTCCTCAGTGAATTTTTCAGATTCATAATCCATGTGACATTAAGAATTAATATGTATATATTACATACACCTTGATGACAAATCAGTAATTTTGTCTCCTTAACGTTTGTTCAGAACCTAATACTTTGTGATTACACAGTATTTGACTTTTCAAGTTTTGTGATGATATCAAAATAGTATATCCTAGAATGCTCAGATTTTAAAGTTGGAATTTGGTCAAGTCATAATTGTTTTTATACTAAAGACCTTCAGCTAAAAATACTTTGGGCATTGTAAAATATTCTCAAAGTTTGATCCTCAAAATGTGCAATCAAAATGATTCTAGATTAACCTGAAAAATCACATCTGTACTCAACTATGATTTCACTTTGTAATTTTCACTCACTGCTAACTCACCACATAACTGTGTGACTTGGGAGCAGAATATATGCTTGCCCTTTGACTCTTATTCTTTCTAAATTTAGCTAGAAATTGTATGTGATAAGTTAATCAAGAGATTCATTCCCTAAATTAAAGTACTTCATAGAATTTTTACTTCTCAACAGGAGATTGGCAGTACGGCCCAATGCACATCTGACACTAGTTTTGAAAATAAATAATAAATCCTGTAACTATCTGAGATCCTTTGACCAAAATAGAACATGGGGGAAAAAACTTGACAAAGTATCAAGCTTAATGTTTACCTCTGTTCTAGAGTGTTTATCCGTGAAAACATCCATCTGTCTCTTAAATAGTTCCAGTACAGCATTGTAGACCAATTCATACTGTTCCTGAAAGGACATCACAAACCAGAAAAAAATGAAAACAAACAAAAACTTGGTGAGGTGAAATCTGGAGAACCAAATTTCAGGAATATGAACACCAGTCAAATCTTAGTACAGGAGACTTGAAAAGACCAGCAACTTAAGTTTAATTATAGTGCCTTATGTTTAGGTAGCCCATTTCAGATTTCAAAGCACTTTTAGGCTGCTGGAAACAGCTAAATATTTGAGCCAGCTAATATTCAAGGACAGTGTAGCATGTTTTTATGTTCTAACCCCACTTTCTTATCTTTTCCTCCACCATCATCCCTCTAATTCTGTTTCCCTTGATCACATTTAAAATTTTTTGTTTCATCCAGGATGTATGTTTTTGTAAGCCACTTTCATCTTTCCTGGAAAAAAGTATATCTATAAGCCTCAATATGTATTATTTAACTTGACCCTCACAATTGCTATATAACGTAGCTAGGCTACGATCCCTAACCATTCAGATGTAATTTCCAAGACTTGGGTTAGAACCTGAATCTTCTGACCCTTAGTACATTGCACTTAGATCATGCTGCAGAAATTGTGTCCTAGCAAAGATACCAAAGAAAAGTAGACCACTGAACACTTTGGAAATTGGTGGTTATAAGGATCATAGAGAAATGAAACTCCCATAATTATAAGGTTTATGGGTTTTTACTACTCCATTTTTGCCTCTGTACCTGCACTTGATTTGGGGTCTACTTTTCATCTGAATGGACCTACTCAGGGTTTTCCCTGAGACTGTATAAGGTTTTTATACAAATAAAGTACAAGTTCTCCAAAGATAATATTAGCAGGAGAATGGGGCAGAGTTTACTTCACCCTGCACGGTCATCAGTACACTTTTCAATTTTTTTAGAAAAGAGAAACACCAGACAGGAAGCACTCACCTGGTCACAGTGTTATTTCCTGGGTAGAGTAGTGTCAAAAAAAGCAGCTACAACTGGTAAGATATTTGTTCAGCTAGTCACTGATAATGCCAAAACAGAAAAGCTAAACGTAAAATTGTTTCAGCTATCTTCCAGTTCTTAAAAGTAGACCTAAAATGTACTTTTTCCAAAATGGAGCATGGTTTTTATTTACTCATTCAGTATTACAATTTAATATTATACAACTGGGTTGCATACTTCCCAGAGTCCATACATTCACATGGATCTGTCTTACTTAAGTGCTAACACCAAATCAGCCAATGCTTTCATTTCACATAAATTTTCCCCCTCACAGGTTGAATATAGAAAACACCTACAGTCAACACATGAAAAAAGTTTTTTCCACTAGCTATTAGTGGAAAAACCTGTGGGGGCCAAACAGAAAGTTTGTATTATAATAGCTCTTCACTTTTTCCCCTCTATTCACTGCTTCTAGATGAGGCTATCTAAGCTGCCACTGTCAATTGTTTTACATCTAAACTTACGTGCAAGTTCATATTTAAGTGTTGTAAAAACTTTAAAGTATTGCTATTTAAGCAGTAAAAAGTAGTTCTAACAAATTATGTGAATGTGTCTGTTACCTAATACCAGTAAACATTTGATGAAGGAATGAATGGGTGAATGCTAAACTCTATCTTAAAGACAGACCATTTATAATGTGGGCAAAATTATTGATGTAGAAATAGGGATGAGATTAATATTTTGGGGAGCGAGAGCTTTGAGCTGGGAATATTTTACCTAAGAATTAGAACTTAAGCTGGAGAGAAGAGAAAACAGAGGAAGAACGTTCCAAATGGAGTAAATAACTGTGAGCATATTCATTCACATATATATGGAGTGAGTAAATGGGGTGGGTTAAAATATTGTATTATATATTATCATATATAGTGTGTGATTGTTCTTTTTTTTAAATATGCATACAATAAGGACCAGAAGAGGTTCTAGAAAAATAGTAACAGTGGGTGCCTCTAGGTGATGATTATAGTGAATTTTACTTTTATTTTTCTTTATTTTGTAAAATGAGCATATAGACTATATTCTCCAGATTCTGTTATCACCTCATAAAGGACGAATTATAAATCCCTGATTTTCTATGGCTTCAGAAATGAATTGCTACTACAAAATTTCAAGTTAACCTGACTTAGCTATTTCTTTCTAATAAGTCAAACAGCTTGTTAAATTTTTTTCAACATCTTTTGTAAGAAATATATTGGTTTCTTAATATTTTCTGAACAGACTGTAAAATATAAGAAATGAAAGGAATTTGACCCAGGACAAAGGATACAAGAAAATATTTGGATATTTAGAGTCAGAGGAAATGGGACTGCATTAAAGCCCTCAAGAGTAAATTGGTGTTATAGCTAAGCAGTTCGCTGTTTGGGGTTGCCTTACTATTAAACAGAGATGGAGCAGGACTCAGCACATGTTGTGATACAGTCAACCACAGTCCATACCTGAGTTTGAACTAATGAAGGCCTCTGTGTTCGCATTTCTTGGATCAAACTGAAAACACTGAAGTTCTCAGGAATTATCTATCAAATAAAAGGGAAAAGAAGCTTACTTCTTTGTTCCTACCTTAGTTTATAAATTATTGCCACTTTCTCATAGGCTTGTTACTTCCATGATATCTGCTTTCCAAACATGGGATAATATCGGAAAAAGAATGCATTTTTAAAACTAATGAGGTTTCTCATCACTTGTGCCATGATTTAGAGCCAGGTGTTTTCCCTAGAAAAGTCTGAAGAAACTCTTCATAATGATTTCACATGGGTTGACCTAATATCTAAAGCTGAAGATATAATGAGGAAGAAGGCTTGGTAGATGATTAAGGATGAGAGTTTTATGAAATAGTGGGCAGAAAGATCCAAAGACCATATTTAATTCTTCCCAATTTCCTATTAGACTTTAGAAAAATGACTTATAGATTGGAATACACAGTTTGATTGTGGTAAATTGAGTCCATCTGCTAAAACAGTTTGGATAAAGTAACTACATAATTTAGGGCAGTGGTTCTCAGGTTACTGTATGCATCAGAAGCACCTGGAGAGCTTGCTGGCTACCCCACCTCCTGCCAACCTCCAGAGTTTTTGCTTCAATTCATGTGAGGTGGGGCCCAAGATTTTGCATTTCTAACAAGTTCTCCCATGATGCTAATGTTGCTTGGCTGGGGACCACACTCTGAGAACCATCCACTTAGGAACTAATTTAATCATCTGACAAAGTGGGTCTACAAGTGAATATTCTAGAAAAGCTGAATCATGGAGATAAATGTTTTGAAGAACCAAACAATTCCTAAGTTTGAAAGTTGCAGAGTGAGCAAGTGGGAAGTTCCTGCCTGGGGAAACTCACCCCATCTTTCAGCAACATCCATGTATAATCAATAGCACAGATAACACCAGTCCTTCCACAACCGGCACTGAAATGAAAGATTACAGAAGTGTGTATAGTTGCAGAGAATGGATCATTGACAGTAGCTGGAAATATTCACTAGCAGATTTGAGGAATAAGAAACCTGGCAGTAAAACTTTCTAAACTTTACCATTTCCAAGAGCATCTTTGTCAATTGGCACATGCCATGCTGAATCTCAGGACAGATTCTAGGAGTTTCTCTCTACAGTCTCTAGAGCTGTACTGTTCACAAGGAACTTAGAAAAATATTAAC